AATAGAATATTTATGGGCTTGGCTGAGAAGAAGTGCCGGCGAAGTGTAAAGTGACCGGAGTTTTCCATTGTACCCAGCGATTGGAGCAGTTCGGTAAGCATTTCAACATACCGATGTTTACAATAATCCTCGTAGAACTGATCTAAACACAGCTTTTCGAGCTCTATGAGGTACGAATTGATTATGAAATCCGAACCGCATGGAAGGTCGTAAGGGGATCGATGTCCATACAAAGGCCACAATCGGGCCGTAGTAGTTTTATCAGTGGTCGTGTACCATGTTTGATTCCATAACACTTCACCACTTCGTTGATCAGCCAACCGACCTTGAGTTCCATGATTCGTTCGTCATCGTAACTGACATCGATGAATTCGCCTTCGATGATCACTCAGACCATGTTCGGAGGTAGAATCTTCACCGGTGTTTGCTTTCCTATCATCGATAGTACGCCAGCTTTTTCGACATCTAACTTATCTCCATTTGTCCGATCGTTGGATTGCCTGACCGTGTGGACATATTAAACCCCACCTCCACCAGAGAAGTCTGATTCCGGTTGAAACTCCGTCTACCGCAATTATTAATAATTATTATAAATGATGATTTTCCTCATTTCAGGCATGTGGTGCAACAAGATGAGAAACCTCTTTGACTGATTTAGTGGAATTGTGAATTAATTTTCTTGAGTTAAAAATAATTTTCTGAAAACAATTGGTCAAATTCCGACGTCCTTGGTCTTGAAATCACACCACCTAGTGTTCTACCCGGGAAATTTACCAGAATTAAAATTTCCCGATTCCCACGAGACTAGGAGATGCGGGAAAAAACTGCCGCATGAAGTGGAAAGCAATTTGCAGGGGAACTCTGAAAATACTTCTCATCTAAATTGGAAGATGCTTCCAGGGGAAGCCAAAAGGACTTCTAGGGAGGTATGAAGAAACTTCGAGGTGAAGTCGGAAGTGTCTTCCGGGGGATGTCAGTTGAATGTTCCGGCGAAGTAGAAAAACATCACCATAAGGGAAGCTGAAGAAACTTCCGGAGAATGTTGGGAAAAACTTTTGGGAAAAATTGATAGAAAATGTTCGGAGAAAGTTGGACGAATCTTTAGTGCGAAGTCAGGAGATCTTCCTTGCGAAGAATCTTCCGAACGAAACCGGTAGACGCTTCTAAGACAAGATACTCATGTCAGAAGACATATGTAAATTTAGGCTGATAAACGACTGGACAATGCGTACTATCGATACTTCACGTATCTGCAGGTATAAAATAAACCCCAACACCTCTGTAGGCGTGGTCACTTAGCCTCTTGTCCAGTTACTCCTATCTCTACTTCCCCGCGGTTCCGGCTGGGGTACAAGCAACCATAGGAAAGATCGGGTAACCAACCCCGGTGGGACCTTGGTCGTATGCTGACAGGGAAGGGGGGACTTCTCTCTCCGGAGAGTCTAGTCTTCGAGCGTTTGTTCACCATGAAAGTGCGGCTCAAAACGGCGTCTGTTCTCCATGTAAGGAGCGACTGATGAACGTCCTAGTGCCAGCGTAGGACTATAAACAGTGCTGTGCACGATGGACCTCCGGTGAGACAATGGGGGTTGGTGCAGGCCCTACAAGCCAGCCGTAAAAAAAAACTAAAGAACACGTGTAAACATGGACCGGGACCATCGGCATAGACGAAAACGGACTAACAATTCCCTCAATTTCTTGGGAAGTACCCGCATTCTTTCCAATTTATTGAGGGTCCTCAAGTTCGACATTGTAGCGCTGCTGGAGGTTTGCTTATGATACTATTGACCGTGAAGAGCTTTGGAAGATTATGAACGAGAACGGTTTTCCCAGGAAGCTGACCAGACTGATCAGGGTTACGATGGATGGTGTACAGTGTTGCGTGAAGATATCGGGTGCGTTATCGGACCCTTTTGAAACTCGCAAAGAACTTCGACAAGGCGATGATCTTTCATGCCTCCTGTTCAAGATAGCGCTAGAAGGTGTTATGAGACGTGTGAGCTTTAACATGCGAGACACGATCTTCAATAAGTCCAGCCAGTTCATCTGCTTTGCTGCCGACGTGTACATTGTCGGAAGAACGTCTCGGGCCGTGGTGGAGCAATACACCAGGCTGCAGCGTGAAGCAGAGAAGGTTGGATTAAAGGTGAATACGTCGAAGACAAGGTATCTGTTAGCTGGGGGAACCGAGCGCAATAGGGCTCGCATAGGCAGAAGCGTGACAATCGACGGAGATGAGTTCGACGTGGTGGATGAATTTGTGTACCTCGGATCATTGGTGACTGCAGCAGAGAAATTCGTAGACGCATAATTGCAGGAAGTCGTGCTTACTACGGACTCCACAAGACCCTGAGGTCGGGTAAACTTCATCCCCGTAGTTCTCTACAGACACGAGACGTGAACGATGCTCGAGGAGTACCTGCAAGCACTGGGTGTTTTCGAACGACGAGTACTTAGGACCATCATTGGCGGGGTATGTGAAAACGGTGTATAGAGGAGAAGAATGAATCACGAGCTGGCGCAACTCTATGGCAAACCCAGTATCCAGAAAGTCGCAAAAGCTGGACGGGACACGTTGTAAGAATGCCGGACAAAAATCCCGCAAAAATGGTGTTTGCCTCGAATCCGGCCGGTACAAGATGCAGAGGAGCACAGCGAGCAAGTTTATTAGACCAAGTGGATCAAGATCTAGGAAGTGTGGAACGATCAAGAAATTGGAGATAAGCAGCCACGGATCGAGTTAGTTGACCTAACATTGTGATGCAGGTGCAATCCTGATGGACGTCGGACAAGCAAAAGTAAAGTAATGCACATTTAGGCAGCCGGACGAAACTTTCAGAATAATTCAAAAAAGTTTTCCGTGGGAAGTCCGGTTAAAATGGAAAATAATTTCCACTTGCAGCATCTGAAGATATGTACTGTTGAAACAGATGGAAGATTCTTCTGGGGCAAGCCTGCCATGAAAAGTCGAACGACCTCCCAGAAAGTCATAAGAAGCTGATCGAAATCTTCAAAGGGAAGTTGAAAGAAACTTCCAGAAAATGTCGGAAAAATCTTCCGGGGGAAATCCTGGTGGAGTTCTAATTTTAATAAATAACTACCGAAAATTGGATAACTGGATAAAAATATTTCCCGATTCCCGGTAATTCCCGGGAAGCGTCTTCTGCTATTTTCAGATTCCCGGGTAGCTAGAAATGGCTGTGAAATGGAAACACTAACATCACCACATCACCAAAAACCTCAAAGAAATTACACTTTAGCCATCGATCGATTTAATGAATGAAAACTAAATCTGTCACACTGCGCTTGTTTGAACATCATTTGAGGAACAAGATTAAACTGCTTTGTTTATTTTTGAGTATGGGTTACTCAAATTTACTCACTGCAAATATATTAACTCTGGTTATTACCGGTGCGTAAATACTACTTTGTACATCTTTTTAGCGTAGGATTCCAATAAGATGCGGTATCTGCAATACCCGGGCTACTTTATAAATCATAATTTAAACCCTTCTTCAGTAATTCCGAGTGACAGGAAATGAAAAAAAAGCATCCATTATTTACATTTCACATCGATTGCCAAGAAGTGAGCAGCAGAGAATGACCCATGAAAATGTCATCCTCCGCCGAACACGTTCCAGATAATTTGCACAGTCACAGCAAAAACCGAAAGGAAGAGATATGCCCATCCTTATGCCACGTGCTGCTGACCTGCAACCAAGAGTCACCAAATGTCCATTGTGCAAAAGGTGATAATATTTTCTGCATTCTTCGGGACACCATCATCGCCGTCTTGACGATGATCTCGCTTGGCCGCTCGGGGCATGAGTTTTGAGAAAACGAAACCGGAAGACGGTGGAAAAATCGTTTTTCACATTCATTTCGTTTATCGGACTGGTTTTCAAACGACCGACGACGGAAACGATAGAATGATTCGATCCGAAACCACCAAGAGGAAGAACCGTGTCATACGGTTGAGCCGTCCTTTGTTGGATGGATGTGAATGGTAGTACCTTCAAAGAATATCTTATAAGATTTTTGGGTCCTCTCGTTTCCACTGGAATGGATGGAATTTCCACCCACAAACATGACCCACGTTCTGGGTGTTTGCTTTCATAGACCAACCCCGATGGGAATGTTGCCTTTGTCCATGTTTTCTGCTAAATTCACCAGCTTCTAGTCTGAAAACTGTCGCCGAGGTTGGAGTAAGCAGAGTAGGTTTTGAAAACACAGGATCATGGAATTGTGCTACACGCTTGGATGAAGATGTTTTGTTATTTGGTCGTCACTGTGATTGGACGACACCCCGGGCTGGAAGATTGTTTGCTTGTCGGAGATTCAGCTAAGTTTGAAAAGAACAGAGTCGTGTGTGGTTGGGAATTAGTTTAGGTTTTCGTTTAAAGTTTATGATGAAGGAAAGATATTTTATTAGATACCGATATCGGACGCGCTTGCTGTAGCATATAGGAAGTCTTAGTTCCAACTCAAGAATCTTAAAATGAAGACTGACTAGCTTAATCACACCTCGGGCACAGCATTTCCAAAGCAATGAAGATAAACGATCCACCACCGATGGCCAACTCGCTAACTGTAATAGGTTATAATCATTTTAAAAAGTTAATACTCTTCGAGGATTGGAGCCAAATTGCCCTCGAGGATGGAATCAATTATTTCGCAATTATTCTCCTGTGCCGAGCAAATTCCATCAAAACTTTGCAAAATCCATTGCCGGTAAAACTTTTGCAATTCCACATCCTATACCGAAGCGAAGAAGAAGCAACACCTGCACCATCCAACAACCTAATTCCTGCAGAGGAAGCTGTTGGAAGGTAGCTAATTCGTTTCATTCGAACCGAAGAAAAGTGGAAATCTAACCGCTTCGAACAATAATCCAATGAACTCGTCGTAAACGTCACCCCAGCACCACCCCCACACTCGAGGATTTTCGGTAATTTTGATTTGTGTGGAAGGTGGAAGTACTTTCTTAGAGTTGGACTTACCTTAAAATCAATATAGCCGTTTTTGTCCATGTCGAACGTCCGGAACACGTGGTCGCAGAATTCTTCGGCATTTCCAGACGGGAAGAACATTTTGTACATATCTACAAACTTTGCCGGCGTTAGTTTGCCGTTTGGACAATCTTGCTGCAATGGGAGAAAAAATGAGAAAGAAGAAAAAGAATTAGGAATGTGTATTTCCGGGTTGTAGAAGGTTACCCGAGCAAAGCTGAAGATCAAATTGAAATCAAAATTTGCTGTTATGATGTAACTTATTTTGAATACTCCAGTTGATCTCATTTTGGTTGACCTAACGGTTAACACAGTAAAAATGGGAGCAAAATTTTACTGTTGACAATCAACGTATATACAGCTTTTAATGAGAAAATTAATCAGATCAGAGCAAACAGTGAAATAAATGTGCATCTGTCGATCTCAATGAGCTTTTTTCAGCACATAATACGACAACTCGTTTTATTCAGCATTGTACACTGTAATACAGCATTTATTCAATATATATGCTTATTGTGACTCTGAATTGCTTGTTGGTTAGACCCAAAATCGATGTCTGCCAACATTTTATGATCCAAAATGGTGGCAATGGCTTTAGAAGGGACATTTAGTGGCTATGGACAGTAGACTGATGCAAAATTTGACATTTTCACTCCACAGTGCTCAAGCGGTTCCAAATCGGGTCTAGATTAGCCTCCCAAGGTTTGAACTTATTTGGTAAGAAATGGTACAAACCATTTGAAGTTTATATGGGAATTACTATGGGAAAACCAAACTTTTTCTTCGTAGTCTTCTATCCATCTTCCATATTGCACCGTTAAAAATTTCTATATCTATTCTTATGGAAAATTTTCTCAGCTACAACTTTGCGGAATATTGTTTTTTAAAAGTTATTAATTGTTCAAGAGATTGATAATCTTATGGCATGATCAAGCACCTGTTTTGTGGGCAACAATGTATTCTGCAGTGTGACATAGTAGCCATGATGTTTTAGCTCTATTCTACGCGCCAGAAACACCAATTTTGCCTGCTGAGCTGAACTATTGAAAGAGCATAGTTGTAAGACAATAGTGACTTGAATCATTAATAACTTTTGATCCTTACATTTTATCGAAAAATAGTCTTCAACAAAGTTGTAGCTGTGAAATTTTAACAGCAGAGTAATAGGATTAATTATTAGATAGATATGAATACAAAATTTGCTTTTCCCATATAAACTTCAAATGGTTTGTGCCAAGTCAGTTTCTTACTAAATGACTTCAAATTTTGGAAGGCTAATCAGGAATTAAATTGGAACCGTTTGAACACTGTGGAGCGAAAATTTCAAATTTTGGATCAGTCTAATAGACAGCCTCGTATCAGTTCAGCACAGTTAACGTGGACCATTCTCGGGGTAAGGTGTTTGGCGATAATCCGCCAGGAACATGTATTTTGTCTAATTAATGTTAGCACAGAAAAAAAAGACATAACTTAGGGGCTGTCCATAAACTACGTAGACAGTTTATATGGGGGGGGGGGGGTTACAATTATCCACGGCCCATACAAATTTTAATTTTTTTTGTATGGACAATTGTCTACGCAGGGGGAAGGGGGGTCAAGAATCCCAAAAAAAAGTCTACGTAGTTTATGAACAGGCCCTTATTGAATATATCTCACTGTAAAACATCGTCGCTAAAATATTACCACCATCTGTTGAGTACAGTGTGATGGGCAGTACGCTGAACAGATGGCTGTATTATGTAAACGTCAATCGCAAGAAAATTAACCATGCGCACCACAGGTGGCGGTACTGCAAACTAAGATACTTTTAAAGTGACCGTTGTGAATGCTTGTTCGATGAACAACTTGCGTGTGTTATGTCTGCTCGTCTGTGGTTTAAGGGTATTTTGGAGCTCAAAATCTTGCACCGCATTTTTTTCCCTTATCATTATTTTTTTTCGTAAACTGTAGATTTATTCCACATTTTAATTCCTCTTTCGATGATGAAGAACCAACCAGCGCTGTCATGTTTTATGCATCTATCTCATTTATCTAGCCATTCTCGTTCTTCCACTCCGTGAGAAGGGTTTCGACTTCCTTTAGAGAATCTTGCATTTTTGCACTCTGTTCGACATTGTTGTCCAATGTGCAGAAGCTTTCGAACTCGGAGAGTTGATTTATTTTGAACTTGATTTCTACCGCACCAGGTAGTCGAATAAAAATATCATTTTTTATTCACTGTAGATTGGTTCAGTTCGCTAACAATTTCATCTGCTGTTGCCGGTGCATCTCTTATGATTTCGTTGATTTCACTGTGTGCCATCCCTGGTGCACTAAACTTTCCGCCAATTTGTTGAATTTCGGACATAATCTGCACATCCTCGTTGTCGTCTTCATTGTCTTGTGACTTCGCGAAATTTGACGGAAGAATTTTCTTCCAGCAGTTTACCAACGTGCTTTGGATTATGTCCTTTAGAACCACATCCATCTTTCATGTATCCCCAAGTAACACAAATTCATAAAATTATCTTGAGTAAACTGCTATACTACCAAAACCAGTCGTACAAAGGTTATATAAACTTTTTTAGAACATGTGTGTTGCTTGGGCTGCTAGTGAAAGGCCTTCATTCTCGGTTGTATTCAGAATAAAACTGTAGAGCAATTCCCTACGAATTCGCAAATCGGTTTATTTTTTTATTTGGTTGAAAATTGGCAGAAACGTTCCTTTGCCATTTTGCATCTTCGTATCGCCAATTTGAATTCAGCCTTATTTTTGAAAAGGGATTATAGAAAAATATCAAGCTTATCTTCAGAAAAATTTTACTCGAAAACTGTTTGCCGGATCAGTTTAGTGTCTTCGGCAATATTGCAGATAATGGATGAGACTTTTTGAAAAAAAATATGCACTCTAAAAAAATTACTCAACTTTTTTCTAAATTTCAAATAAAATCTTAAAAAAAAATTTCTCAAAAGAGGATTTTTTGTATTTTTTTATTTGTTGATATGTTTTAGAGGACAACAAATTCCATCTATTGCACTATAGGTCAAGATGGAGAAATGATGGACAAAAAAGTTCTGATTTTTAAAAATGTATTTCGCGGTTTTCCAGTTCCGACCGAAGAACCGCGAAATATATTTAAAAATGGCCAAAAACTACCAACATTTAAAAAATATCTACTTTCAAACCGCTACATCTCGAAAACGGTGCGACTTAGCAAAATTTTACTCAGGTGCTTTTTTATTGTAAGTTTGGTGTACTTTCATTACATAAAGTCTAAACAGTAATTGCCCAGACAACCAGAAGTCGTTTAACAATGTACAGATAGTATCGTTAATTTCCGACTTACATGCGATGATTCATTTTTCCGTCGTACTTTATCACAAATTAAATCGGATTACATCGTAAGACTTTTCAAAATGATTTTTTTATTACAGATTAAAACGTATATGATGTTAAATCAACTCGTTTAAAATTAAATTAAAATATGCACTTATAAGGCCTCCACTTTTGTATGTAAAAGCCATTTCTTTGCATTATATACGAATTGTTTGTTTGTATATATGTTTGTTTATCACGAAAACAACTTGTCCTATAGTGCAAAAGATGGCATTTTTTGTCCCCTAAAACATATCAACAAATAAAAAATACGAAAAATCCTTTTTTGAGAAAAATTGTTTAAGACTTTATTTGAAATTTAAAAAAAAAAGTTGGGTGAATTTTTTTAGGGTGTATATTTTTTTTTTTCAAAGAGTCTCATCTATTACCTGCAATATTGCGCGAAGCACCAAACCGATCGGACAAACAGTTTTCGAGTAAAAAATTTCTGAAGATAAGCCTAATATTTTTCTATAGGCTCTTTTCAAAAATAAGGCTATAAATGAATATGCAAAATGGCATAGTCAGTCATAAGGAACGGTTTTAAAAAATTTCAACCAAATAAAAACATAAAAAAATAAACCGATTTGCGAATTCGTACGGAATTGCTTTGTAGCTTCTCTTGGCATAGTTCAGCTTGAAATTTAATAAAGTGTCCTACGGCGAAATGACGAGTGGAGCAACGACCTACTCCCAGTCTCGGAAAATCCCAAATTTTACTCTCAGATGATCCTAAAATAGTCCTCAAAAGTACCAATACTTGAATTCTAAACAGCTCAGAACTTCTATCTAACCTTGGTTAAGAACTTGCTTTCGAAAGTCACTAGCCTACACATATGGAAATTCACAGAAATTGATTGTTCCGAAGGTTTGTAGAACTTGGCAGAACATTGTCTTTAAAAGTTAACTCCTGAATGCTTTGAATTAACCTCAGAGGCCTTATAGGGTAAATATATTTTTAGTCATTTCCGATTGCTGCAATGAAACGTGGATGCAATCTCATTCTCCAAGTCTATATAAAGGAGTTCAACGCCAAATGACGAATCGGTCTGATGCGCCCTTCTTCGATTTGGATGAAATTTTGCATAATTGTTTACTGAGTAAATTCCAGAGATGTTATAGTCTAAGTCTAGAAACATGTTTAGTAAACCTCACTAATAACTCCGCTCTGAGGGAGGGGAGTTTATGCTTAGTGGGTTCTGAAATTAATTAGATCAACTCCAGGACCTATTGGTCAGCTCCAACAAACAATGCCAGAGGTATGATAGTCTATAGCCCTTACGAGTCAACTTTAGAGGTCACAACAACTCTCGATTAGTTTTTGAATATGTCCTATGTCCGCTTGTCGATGTTTTCGCGATAATGATATTTGATTGAACGGATCAATATTAAACAATCCTTTAAATTGGTCGAACCTCTTAACGGAATCCCTTTATGAAGAGCTTTGAGTGTGTTGGTTTATTTCCTTTAAATTCCGTTATAATTGCTTATCTTTTGACAGATACGCGTATTTCGTCTACTACTTGCAGACTTCATCAGTGCCAAGTACTCAACACTTCATCTATATTGCATCCACCGCTGAGTTCACGGTAGAACACCAATCAAGTTAATCGATTTTTGATCGGCAAATGGACATAGGACCTATTCAAAAAGGAACCCAAGAACTCTGGACTAAATGCAGTGCCTTACAGCAGTGGTTTTCAACCTATTTTGTTCCATGCCCCCTTTTCCAAAAACTGCTCATCACCGTTCCCTTCCATAGATAGATAGTTCAATACAA